AAAAAAAAAGGTCCTCCAAGACTTCGACCAAAGACTCCAGCAGCAAGTCGTAACCCTTCTGCGAATCCAATCGTCCAATGAAACCTCAGTTAGACTCAATAGAGAATATTAGAGGTGTGGTAAGCTTAAAAACATGTTGCTAGAATCCAGGTGAAATCAACATGGTAGACCGCGGACCTAAAACATTCTGCTCGAGGAGCACATGAGCGGGCCAGTGCAGCCAGTCAAACCATTCTGGGCACGATAGCTGGTCTTTAGCTCGGTTTTGGCGATGTCACAGTTCGTTGAGTTGAAAGGGCCGCAGGTCATCATGGTCTTTGTCACAAAGTTCCTCAAAGTCTGCATTAAAATTATGAACATATATTTGCTACAGCGGAGTCTTTAGAGGACCGTAAAACATCACCAGACCCTTTGTTGAAGAGCCGGTTTCAAGACGAAATTGTAATTTCGGGCAAGTTGCTTGTCACTGGGAGACACGCCCTCCTTCACACCGTTCAGAATGCCTGGAAAAGCGCTTCAGGCAAGCAAATTCTTGGCTTTCAAGCTATAAGAAGTCCAAGGAAGATTCCCCAACACGCTGGTTGCGCTCCTGTGCATTTGCCCAACTTGAAGAGGGACTCCAACTCGACACCCTTCTCTGGATCAGTGCAGCACTCCACTGCATAAGAGGGAGACACGGTCAAGGCGCGGTCGCAGTAGCGCAATCCAGCAGCCATGGTGTTCACACAGCTCACCTTTCCAGTTTCACAAGGACTCTCAACGACCACGAGCCAAGAAATTAAAGGACCGGATAACCCCACATATGCGTCTTTACGAGTCTTAAGCTTCTAAAGCACAAGGCAGTCAGAGTCTCAATAGCTTCTACAACACGGCCTTGTCAGGAAGTGATATCAGCTTCCGACAACAGAGGGGGGAGAGAAGGTGTAAGAGAGTGATGTGCACGACGGATGTACGAAGTATTGTGCACACAGGTGTGCGCAGCCACAACTAGCCAACAACACCAGCGGTTGTCGCACGTCCGCAATATGGGGCATAATGTACTAAAGTTGTACTACCAAGTCGCCAGTTCTCATCTTCCAGCTCCAAAACAAACAAAAAACAAGAAGCCACATGTTGACTCTCATTTGCCTTGGTAAAGCCAATCTTAAGGTCGGTTTCTTATATACGTCTTCTTACTACCTAGGACCTAGAGCTTTCGCCCAACGGTTTGAGCGCAGAATGCTCAGACTGACACAGCCATGCCTTCTCGTTGTACTTGCCAATCCGCAGAGGCATCCTACAGGAACAATGGGCACAACTCCTCTTCACATCTCTAACTCCCCTTCATTGCCTTTTCTTTCTGGCATTCTGTCATGATTTGGGAGCCAACATGATCCGCCGAGTATCTTGAAAGTGATGCTGTCAATGTAGCGCTCTGGCACACCAAAGATCTGAGCCAATCCTTCCTGTAGCGAAAAGCAAGAACAACAGCGGCTTCAAGCTCACTCCTGCATCAAGAGGATTAAGATGAGTTAAAAGTAGAGTCATCAACTTCTGTTCCCTCGCCTCGCAAACAAAGCGACCCTGAAAGACGGCGTTGTGGCAAAGGAAAGCCGTCTTGGTGTTTTGCCACTTGCCTGCAAGACACATCAAACGAAACCGATTCCAACAGTTTGTGGGAGTTGAGAACCACAAAGACAGCATGGCTTTGTTGTTTGGACAGCATGGCTGACTCAATGCTGCGCCTGTCATTGATTTCTCCGCATGGATAAGCATCGGCACCAGGGCACTGTGCCAGTCGTTGCAAACAACCATGCAGTCACTGCCGTAGATGGCACCACCCAAAGGCAACTCCTCACACAACGACAGCAATGTGTCATGCGGCTATGCCTACCAGCGCCTCAACAGAATTACTGGCTTTTGCACTACATGCATGTGGCTTCAACTTTAGTCACTGGATGGTGTACAATAACGAATTCCAGTCTTTGCTTGGCGATTCGCCGGCCTGGATTGCCTTCAGGGCTGCCTTGCAGAAGTATGCGAAGCGTGCCTGGTTGTCAGCGAAGTCCTTACCCCACTCAGGGCCGTAGAGCTTAGAGCCTGTCAAACCATTGACACGCTCCAAGAAGGTTGGGTGATCCACAAAAACATAGTCCACCTTCTGCTTGTAAGTGTGGAAAAAGTGGACAGACTCCTGCTTGCCACCCATGGTCACAGAGCCCCAGTAGCCAGTGTCCCAGGCTTCCGAGTACTGATCGTAGCGGGGCGAAATGACCATGCAGCGATGACCCAGGGCAGCCAAGGCAATTGGCAGTCCATCCATGGCTTCTCCCAAACCACCAGTCTTCGAGAAAGGGGCAACTTCGCCAGTGACAAAGACCAGCTGATACTTCTTGGTGATGGTGGTCACTGGCTTGCCATTCACCATTTGCATTGCCGGGCGGCCTGCTGCCAAAGCACGACCCATCGCAACAGCTGGTGGACCAGCCTTTGGCACTTCTCCATTGACCGCCCCTGCAGCAGACTTGGCATATGTTCGTGCAGGGCCGACAGTGCTGGTGGCATAGGCAGAGGTTCCAGCTTGTGTTGCTGGCACAGGCTGGCCACTCACGATGTTCAGGACACTGGTGGGGGCTGCTCCCATTGTGTCCCTTGGCAAAGGTCTGCTGGACATGGCGGCCATCTTTGCCTTGGCCTTTGGCTTAGCCTGAGGTTCGGCCTTGGCTCCAACACCTTTGGCCAAAGAGGAACCAGTGGCTGAAATGCGTGCTGCAGCAGTCATTGGCTTCTTTCCTTCCTCCACGATAGCGGCAGCAGAAGTGGGTGGTGCTGGTGCCGATTTGGCCTTGGGTGCTGCAGCGGCAGTGCCTCCACTTGCGGGGCTCATGGTGTTCATACCTTTGCCACCACCTTTTCCACCAAGCGCGGAGGCCTTGCTGGCAGGTGCGGCTGCGCCTCCCTGTGGGGTGGTCGCAGCCTGCTTTTTCAACTCATTGGCCTGTGGAGCCTCATCACGAGACTTGGCCTGAGCAGACACCTCAGCAGGCTTGGCCACTGGAACCACGGCTGGGTTCTGAGAAGGAGCAGACATGCTTCCTGATCTCCAGATCTGAAAAGCGCTGCT